CGAGGCACACCGCCACCCGACACGGCGACCGGTGGCGGCAGCCACCACCCTACGGTGGTGGTTTGAGTTTTCCTATTCATTATTCCGACATGATTACAGTTTACAACGCAAAATCCAAAAATAAACACACACACACTAACTAACATAAACACACACACATGGTGGCAGCCACCACCTCACGGTGGTGGTGGTGGATGTTCTTGATTTCCTGGCCAAACAAAGCCACCCACGACACACACACACAACATAAATAACACGCACATTAACACCAACACGCATATCCATCGCTGAAACGCACTAGTCTCGGCCACCCCAACGGTGGCGTGAAGTAGTCGAACGAAAAAACGTCGATGGGATAATAATCGGAACCACAACAGCGTCGCAGCACCGGACATAAACGAAGAGGAATAAGAAGAACATGGTAGGGGAGTGGTCATCCGTCATCTGAACAGCAGCAACAACCAAGCTATCTCGAACCTCCACTGCCCATGGATGGACATCGACTTCACAGCTTGCGGTTTCGCCGACAACGAGATAGCGGACAACGGTCCTGCGTGATTCCGGCGACATGAGTTGTAGCGGCGATAGTGGAGAGAAGCGGCGTCAATGGAACAATAGCAGCGACGGAAGAGTGGTGGCTGGAGACCTCAACGAAGGTGGATGATGAGAGAGTGGCGGCTGGAAGATCACCCGACGGCTGCTCCTTAGGTTTAGGGTTTCAGCATGTAACGGGTTTATATATCCCGCACCATTCAAACTTCCTCCCATGTTTACACAAACAGTCCCTCCTTCTCCCTTTTCTTTCAAAATAGATCCAAAATTTACAATTTAGCCCCTAATTCCATAAATCTTTACCATTTTAATCAAATATTTACCATTTAAACCCTGTCTTCGAAAATCCCTTTCATAATAAGTCCTAATAATTACCAAACATACCCTTGCTTCTAAAATCCTTCTCAAATCAACTCCGTAATTTACTAAACGACCCTCAACCTTCAAAATTCTTTACAATTTAATCTGAAAATTACATTTTAACCCCCAACTTCTATAATTGTGACTTTTAACTCCTCGAAACCAACACCTTTCTCAATTATTATTGATTTTAGGGCTTCTATCCATTTATTAATTAATTAATTTATTTATTTAATAAACGGGGTGTTACATATGTGTTTGTTACTTGATGCTTATATATACTATATGAAATGCATATGATTTGTATAATGGGCGAATGTTGTGATTACCCACTAAGCTTTAGGCTTACAGTTACTGTTTTATGTTTTTAGTTGTAGGTCCTTGAAGCTCGAAGGACAAGGAGCTGATATGATTGTGATATTTGGACATTCTTAGAGGGGCATGTCATCTGGTTTAACCATTCTATGTTACATTATGGTTTTTAAAACAAAAGTTAGCTTCCGAATTTTTACTATGAATATGTTAATTGTTAATGTGACATGAAAAGATGATTTCATGATTTAGTAATGAATATGAATGAAACCTTTTGGTAAAACATATACTTTGATTTTCACAATTGTATGGTTAGATTTTTAATGAATATGAATGAAACCTTTTGGTAAAACATATACTTTGATTTTCACAATTGTATGGTTAGATTTTTGGGATGTTATAAGAAGGACCAATGGAGTGTAAGGTTTTTTCTAAAAGGACCATTCATGCAAAAAAGATTTCATAAAGATTGTTTTGAAGACAAAATTATAACTATAAGGACCATTTGTAAGTCTTAAGTAAATAACTAAAATTTCCAAAGACATATTATCAACAAGCATACAAACATCTCCTAATATAGTAAAATAAAATGTTTATTAATTTTGGTTTATCATCACAAACGACTGATTAACTATGACATGGTTATATTATTTTATGACAAAACTGCAAGGTTGGTCCCTATGGTGTTCAAAAAACTTTGGATAGGGTCCAAAAAGTTTTTAACTTGCATGGAAGGTCCAAAATCAAGGTTTTTTCGTGTTTTTGGTCCTTGATACATTTGAAAAGTCGATTGTACCATTTTCATTACTTTTTCTATTGTCTTTATTTATTTTGGTATTTAAATAATAAAAAAATAAAAAAATAAAAAAATCTCACCAAACCCTCTCCACCGGTACCCCTCTCCCTCTCTCTCTCTCTCTTCTCTCTCTCTCTCTCCCTAACCTAACCTAAGCCATATTCATTCCTATTCATCTTTAATAATCTTCCACAACTCCATCGGCATACCCCTCCCTTTGATCAACCTCCTACTGATCGAACCCCACCACCGGTCCCATAAACACACAATGAAACCCCCTTCCCCTTCAATAACACGCTACTCTATTACTTGATGCAGCAAAAGTTGAAAGTACCGATTTCATAAAAGAACCCTAGCAATTACTTCTCAAACCCTCCTCAACTTGAAGCACATATGATGTTTCTGGGTTCAAGAACAAATATTTAAAGCAGATTTGGAAATAAGCTTCAAGAACAAGCATTGAGTTGCTTCACATGCTTCACAACGAACTTGAATCCCCAAATCAAAACTAGAAATTGAAGTGGAATCAAAGACTGGTCATCGATTTAACCACTAAAGATGGAGCATCGATTTAATGGTAGCGGTGGAGGAAATCAGGCGCTTGAGGTTGCACGAGGTGAAGAACAGGTGGAGGAAATCGCCTACCCATCATCTCCTTCATGGAGAACCTAAAATCTGGGTTCATTCTTGGATCTGCACAACTGGCATCCCCAATCGATGACTTTCACCCGAATGAATAAGGGTTTTAACCCCATCACATACATCCACGATGTTGATGGGTTCATTTCTGTTATTTATGTTGATGCGGGGAAGAGGGACCCGTCAGAGGTGTGACCAAGCTTTCCAGTTGGAGATGGAAACGAAGACCGAAAGAGGGATTGTTGTTAGGAATTTAAGTTTTAAAACTTCTAAAATCGCATATCTTACAAGGAGCTTGCAGAAACACTGAAATCACCACCCTTTTTTATCATCCTAGTTTTCCAAGTATGTATGTGCGTTTGTGGAAAACAAAATACATAGCTTGAAGAAACAAAATCTTAGATATTACACGTGACTAGAAAACTTCTAAAATCACAGTTTGGGAAAATGAAATACAGAGCTTCAATGGAGCCTTATAATTTTGGTGTGTGTGTCTGTGTGTTTTATGTACTGAGAGAGAGAGAGAGAGAGAGAGAGAGAGAGAGAGAGAGAGAGAGAGAGAGAGAGAGAGAGAGGTGGGGTTGGCGGATAATTATTTTCTTTTCTTTTTCTTTTTAAATTAAATTAGTATTTGAAAAATTATAAAAAATACAAAAAAGAAAGTATAAAGGCGTAACCGTCTTTTCAAGTTTTTTGGACAAAAAACACAGAAAAATATTGATTTTGGACCTTCTATACAAGTGAGAAAGTTTTTAGACCATATCCAAAGTTTTTTTAATACCATAGGGACCAATCTTGCAGTTTTGTCTTTTTTTTTTTACAATAATTAAAAAAAAGTGGTTTTACATATTTTCGGAAAATATAAATTCAAATAAATAAGGAAAATATTATTAATCAAAATAAAAAATAAAGATAGCACATAGATACATTGTCCCTTGACAACATGGTTAAACATTGTCCCTTTGACAATATACTTTGACTAGTTGTACTACATGCAATTATACATGTAAAATTGTAAATCGATGGTTCCTTATCATATTTTTTTTCCACGATTATTGGATTTTATATCAATTAAGTTTACAAGGCATAAAACTGTTACTATATTTTTTGTTTGTTATGTTCCTTTGACGTCAACAAAGGATGCGCGATCATCCATGGCCTTTCATTTATAAATTTATGATTACTTTTTAAAAAAAGTATATGTTGAAATTTTTTAGAAAACTTCATAAACTTATTGAAACATATTTTAAATAATTTTCTCAAAAATAGTTATGGAAACATAACCTTTATATTTTTATAAAAATATAAAAATGAGAAAGAATAGATCTTTTCCTGGAGAAACTTTAACGAGGGGAAACAGGAGGGCATTGTAGGGAAATTGGATGGTCATTGGCCAAAACAAGACTCCATTTTCCTGGAAAAGGACACAGAACACAACTAGTAGATGGTGTCTGCTGTCCACGTAAGCAATTTTTACCTCTGCCATGTTTGACACCCGCGTAATGCAATATAAACGACACGTCACATCTGACGCATTTAATTCAGATGTCCCTTTCGCTTAAACATTTGACTCGGGATACTTTTATTAAAGTAATTCATTATTAACGGAATGCCTATAGCGTATCATATAACAAGAAGAAAATCAAAAAATTAATAACTTTTTAAAATGAAAAATAATTCGGACATATTAATTTTTTTCCACACAACAATTTATATTTTATAGAGTTGTACAATATAATATTTTAATGCACAAATTGTTGTGTATGAAATTTTTTTTGTTAGGTACGGATGAGTTACTTTTTAAAATAGATTTTAAAACGTGTGTTATATGAAACATACATATTTGTTCATTAAGATATTACCATAGTTTTTTCAAAAAAACAATCGAAACACAGATACCCTAACTAATAAAAAACACCTATTGTACGTGTAGTAATAAAAAGTCAAACATAGTAAAATATAGGCTACTACATTACATTTATTGTATGTATTTTTGTATTATTTTAAAGTGAAAATAATACTTTCTATAGGTTTGCATTTTCAAAAATAGTAGGAATAAATAATTTTCAAATTCATTATAAAGTGAATATGTCAGAAAGGAAGATTCGAGTTTCCCACACAAAGATAAAAGTCAAAATCCAATAGTTATAACACAGATTTTGTCTTCCAATTGCAGCCTTTTGTGTCTATATATACCCCTCTCCCATCTTCCCGATTATTATCTTCAGAGTCATTCTTCCAATTTTTTCAGTTCTCTCAAACTGTCGAACAACCACACTTTCCATCGCACACTTCTTCCTCATAATAAAAAAAATCAATCGAAACAAAAATCATCATAAGCATGAAGAAATTTGGTTTCTCTCCTAAACGATCTTCATCTTCTTTTATCGCTCATTATCCTTCACCTTCACGTTTTGCCTTACCAACTCCGACCATGAGTTTTCCCGACTCCGTAATGCTCCAGACATTGGAGATCGCCGAGCCTGTCATCGTCAAATGGGATCCGGAAACCTCCACTTATGCCAAGGTCACGTCGCTCTTCTACGACAACCGCCGAGAAGCTTTGGAATTTATCAAGCATGTCAACAAGCTCCATAAAGCGATGCATTCATTGGTTACTGAAAACTCCACTTCTGAATTGCTTATTAGGGCTCAGCACCTGATGCAGATCGCTATGAAGCGGTTGGAGAAAGAGTTTTATCAGATTTTGTCCTTGAATCGAGCGCACTTAGATCCAGAATCAGTTTCAACTCGATCATCTCGAACATCGACGCGATCAAGTTTATCGGATTTTGCTGATGAATCTGATGATGAGATACGAGTTGCAGGAGAATTGATCAGTGAAGTCGAAGATACTGCGGAAGGAGCCATGGCGGATCTCAAGTTGATAGCTGAGTGCATGATTTCATCTGGTTATGGTAAGGAGTGCGTCAACATTTACAAAGTTATACGTAAATCGATAGTTGATGAAGGCATATACAAGCTTGGCGTCGAGAAGCTGAAAGCTGCTCATGTTCATAAGATGGATTGGGAGGTTTTGGATCTCAAAATTAAAAACTGGTTGGCTGCTGTAAAGATTGCTATTAAAACATTATTCAACGGAGAAAGAATTCTGTGTGATCACGTTTTCGCATCGTCTGATTCCATCCGAGAAGCAAGTTATACCGAAATTACAAAAGAAGGCGCTCTGATTCTGTTTGGATTTCCAGAAAATGTAGCAAAAAATAGCAAGAAATCACCGGAAAGGATCTTCCGGACTCTCGATATGTACACCGCAATAGCTAGTCGGTGGCCGGAGATTGTGTCAGTTTTCTCGTTCCCGTCGGCGTCTTCCGTAGTCAATCAAGCTCTCAATTCACTCATAAAACTTGCTGAATCAGTGCGTTTAGATCTAACAGAATTCGAAACGTTACTTAACAAAGAATCCTTGAAAACTACCGTAGCCGGAGCCGGAGTTCACAGATTTACCATGGAGACGATGAACTACCTCTCCCTCCTCGGTGATTACAGTGTTTTATCTGATATACTAATGGACAGTCCACAAACTGAGAAATCTCTAATGCCACAAACCTTCTTCGACGAATCATATTCCGACAGTTCTCCCTCGCCGTCGGTATCCGCCCGGTTAGCTTGGCTCATCTTCATCCTAGTTTGCAAACTCGACGGCAAAGCGAAGCACTACAAAGACGTCTCTCAGGCGTATATATTCCTCGCCAACAACCTCCAACACATACTCTCCAAAGTCCGATCATCAAATCTCCGGTACCTCCTCGGCGACGAATGGATCACCAAACGCGAATCCGAAGTCAAAAAGTTCGCCGCCAATTACGAACGGCTAGCATGGAGCCACGTCTTCGATGCCATTCCTAAAAACGCTTCAGCAATGACGCGGGAGGAAGCAAGAGATGGTTTCAGGAAGATCAACGCGGTGTTCGGAGAGGCTCACCATAAGCAGTTGGCCATCGTCATACCAGACGGCAAGCTTCGTGATGAGATCAAAGTTTCAGTCGCCAGAAAGTTGTTGCCGGCGTACAGAGAATTCTACAATGCGCAGAGAGTCGAGATGGAAAAAGATAGAAGGTTTGCTGCTGCTGTCAAGTACGCGCCGGAGGACATAGGGAATGCGCTTTCTGATCTGTTTTTCGGGTCCTCGTCTGTGTCGTCATCAGCGTCATCATCGTCGTCTTCAAAGTCAAGAACGTCGATTTCACAGTGAACGACGTCGTTATAGAGCTGTAATTTTCATATGCTGTCTTTTTTCCACCGGGGGAATATGAGGGCTGTATTTGTAAATACATTATGCCCCTTTCACTGCGAATATTATGAAATACACTTGTTTGAATTCTTTATAGAAAAAGGTAATTGAGATTAAATATTTAAATTTGCCTCTTGATTTCTTTGATGCCAAGCATTAAGTTTCTTATTAAAAATCAACAATATTTCATTTAAGTCGTAAATTGCGACATGTGGAAATTACAAAACAACAATATACAAGTCCATGAGGATGGTATAAGAAATAATTATAAAAAGTCTGAACGCCATACCTTCACGTACTCATGAATCGAGAGAATATTTGTATTGATAATCTCTGATATATTAAACATCCGAAAATACTAGAATATAAAATATTTAGTTATATTTCAGGTTATTGACATTTTCCTATTTGGATATGTATCGAGGTAAGGGTGAAGGGAGTCGAGCGGGAGGAGGGAAGTGGGTTGGCTAAGGTGGCACTCCGGAACCAGCAGATACACCACTCCCATCTTCCTGGTATCGGAAAGGGTGTCTCTTTCGGGTTCAACAAACTGTTTGAGGTTGGAACAAGATTGTCAAAATCGAGATCTTACCGAAGATTGTTTTACATTTTACAAGATCATGATCGTAAGACCAAATAAATAAGGATCATAAGATCCTACCAAATGAAACCGGTCTCCAGAATTTTTATTGGAATGTTTTGTTTGTGTAGTATTCATTATAACTTTATGTTGATTAAGACATTAATTGTGAGATCAGCTTTTACTTCTTACACATAAAATCATAATTTTTGTTGGAATGTTTTGTTTGTGTAGTATTCATTATAACTCTTGTATTTAATTGAAAATTACTATTTTATGGAAGTGATAATGTTCAATGTTAGTATCAAAGATTATATCATAAGATATGATTTATAATGTAATGTACATCTTTTTGAACTTAAAGAGTTTAGTAGTAAATTATGTACATAACATATGGGAAAAGGAGTGTAAGTGTAGCACCTGGTTCCTGGTATGTATTTTATTTAAGTATTGTGCATTTTTGGCCTGGGACTCGGCGAGTTGAAGGCCCAACTCGTCGAGTAGAAGCGGATTGGATACGGGATTTAAATGACGGACTCGTCGAGTCGGCCTCCAGACTCGACGAGTAGAATCTGACTGGACAAACCCTAATCTAAGGGTTTGCACCCTATTTAAGCATCTCATTCAGCCACCCTTCGTCCCTATTGCTTCCAGAACCCCCCCCCCCCCCCCCCAATAGCAAACCCTAACTGTGTGTGTGTGAAGATCTAAAGGCATTTGAGGTGATTTTTGGTGATTTTGATCACAAGGAAGAAGGAAGGGCCTAGAGGGATCAAGAGAAGACCAAGGGAGTTCAAGTTTGTGCATCATTTGCAGTTCCCAGAAGGTATAAAGTCGGTACCTTGCTTGTTCATTTGCTAGATCCCTTTTTGGGGAGATTTAGGGCTTTTATAAGCCATTCTTGGTGACCAACCATGATTGCAAGCATGGTTGGGGGTTGAGGCTTCAGATCTAGGTCCATGAAGGAGTTACAAGGCAGAAAAGGGCTGCTTTTGCACCCATGGAAGCCCCCATGCAACTTAAGAGTCTCTTTTAGAGCCTTTTAGGCTCAAAGTCCCATGCATGCACGTAAAGTTCGTAACTTTACGTGCTAGATCGAGTTTAGGGACCTAGATCTATCATTTGGACAAGAGTTGTACGCCAGAAATCGAAGAAATAGACTTGGACAGTATCTACTCGGCGAGTCGTTCTTGGGACTCGGCGAGTCCGAGGTTAGACTCCCCTTTTCTGTTATGGGTCAAAGAGACCCAGTGGAGTGCTGGAAAGGTTTTAGAGGGTCCAGGGGAGTGACCCAACGTATTGGGCTAAGCCATAGTCCTGGAGTTCATAGGACTCGGCGAGTGCATGAACAGACTCGGCGAGTCCAAGGCAATCTCCCAACTCTTGAAGATGAACTCGACGAGTTGTTCATACAACTCGGCGAGTCGAGGACAGGACTGGTTCTTAGGATGAGGATGAACTCGACGAGTTGTTCATACAACTCGACGAGTCGGATGAAGGTTCATTCGATGCTCGTATAGAAGGAGAACTTGTCGAGTCATTTCTAAACTCGACGAGTAGAGACGTGGATGAGGACAGTTAAAAGGTTAGGGACTCGACGAGTTGGCGGCCCAACTCGGCGAGTCAGGTCAACCGGAAGTTGACTTTGACTGTGACTTTGACTTGGACTTGGTCAGGGGTAAAATAGTCATTTTACCCTAAGAGTAGATATCAGATTCTGACTGAGTGTTTTGTGGGGATTATAGCCGGAGGATTTCCGGAGCAGCAGCAGACAGAGATTTCCCGCACAGATTTTCAGCAGCTACTCGTACGAGGTGAGTTACCTTCCAGTAGCGGTGGGTCTACGGCCACAATGTCGGCCCACCAGTAGGAGTTGTATGTTAGATGATCGTCTTGGTGATATCATCTAGGTTTGCTACTACCTGATATGTTGTATGCTGGCATGATATGTTATATGTGATAGTAGTAGAGTTCGGTTGTTAGGACCGAAGGGTAGGTCAGGCACCCCAGATATGTCTGACAGTATGTGATGATATGTTTATATGTCGGCATGATATGTTATATGTGATAGTGGTAGTAGGAGGGGAATAGTCCCCAAGTTCGGTTGTTAGGACCGAAGGGTAGTTCAGACACCCCATATATGTCTGATAGTATGTTTATGTTATGATATATGTGATAGTAGCAGTAGGGGGTGGAATAGTCCCCGAGGGTCGGTTGTTAGGACCGACGGGTAGGTCAGCACCCCAGAATGGCTTGACACGGGTAGTTCGGCACCCCAGAATGGCCGTACCGGGTAGGTCGGGCACCCCAGAATTGCCCGGCAGTATGTATGCTATATGATTGTATGGTATGTGGTACGATTGGGGGAACTCACTAAGCTTCGTGCTTACAGTTTTCAGTTTTGTTTCTGGTACCTCTTTAGAGAAGGGGAAGGAGTCGACGCGGTAGCTGCACATCATACACACGTTGGATTCCGCATTATGAGATTTCTTGGGATTGTACTCTGACATTGTTACTACTTTTACGATATGATTTTCAGACATGAGATTATGGATTTTACGAAATGATATGACTTCATGATATTTTCTTATGAATGTTTTTCTAAGTCGTTATATCAAAATCAAAATTTTTGGACTCAAAAAATAGGATGTTACAAGTTGGTATCATAGCCCTGGTTTGAGGGATTCGGACACACCCTCGGGAGTGTCTGGACTCAAACCGAGGGATTAAAAGATTTTTACCAAGAAAATGGTTCTAAAATCTAAGTTAAAGAGTTTTGAGAAAGAACAAGGTGTGTGATGTGCGCGACCGGCCGAGCTCAAGTAAGTTTTCCCCAAATTACCCATACAAGTTTATGTTATGATTATCAGTTTTAGTAGAACAACATGCTAGATTAGGGCTAAGGATCTAGGAGGATGCCTTATGTGCCTGCTATATGTGTTTCAGCTTTATGAGAACTGCATGCTAGTATAGATTAGTCAGGAGGATAGCCTGAGTAGTATATGCTTGCTTATGTGCACTCGATGTCTGAATGCTGCTTGCTTTGTGCTTTTAGGAGTTCTAGTTGTATTTCACTAGCTAGTAAACAAATATGTTAAGTTACATATTGCAAGGACTAAATAATTTCAGAAGGTTAGGTCTAGCTTTATTTCGCAGCTCTTGTCCGAGTCCAACCGTTGTAGGGTAAGATCTCTCATTCGAAGAATTATCTAGTCTGAGTGATATGTAATAGTATTTGCGAGCTAGTTAGGGGAAGAAAGTAGGGACTTCTTGCGCAGCTGATGGCGGAGAGTGGGTTGGTGATTACCCTAGGGCAAGCCAAGGAAGAGAGTAGTAGAGATCAGTAGCTGTAGAAGGGACTTGGTGGAGTCAAGGCAATTCTTGAGGAAAGTACGGATAGATGTGGAAGGTAGTATGAGCCCGTACTATTGAAAACAGAGGATTCGTACTTGAATCAAGGAAGGTTGAGGCAAGACCAGGGAACTTGTGATAGATGTGATCCCTCTAGATGTATCAGTATCACTGACGGTTGTCATTATGTATTGCCGAATGGTGGTACTACGTCCGAGGCCAGCAGTTGGCAGCTCAGGAGAGGGATCGGGTTCGGGTTTAAGTTCCGAACCGGTGGATAAGAGGCTACGCGAGTTCATCGCATCCGAGATCATTAGAGGCATCCTTGATGCGACCCCGGTCATCTTTGGGTCGATCAAGGAAGGGATTGTCGAGCTGATGGAGGATCGCCTCCGGGCGTTCAGGAGCGACATGGTGACCAGCCAGTCGGGATCACGCACACTGTCCTTTAAGGACTTCAGGGGCAGGGGTGCGCCAGATTTCCATGGGGCGAAGGACCCCATTGCAGCCAGGCGATGGATTGCGGACATAGAGTCTGCATAGTTGACCAACTTCTGCCCCGAGGGGTCGAAGGTGAGATATGCAGCAGGGTGCTTGAGAGACAGGGCCAGAGATTGGTGGGAGTCGGTTGGTGACTCTCTGGGAGCCTCGGCTGTTGAGGCTATGATGTGGCCGGACTTTGTGACCCGGTTCAGGGCGGAGTTTGCACCTGAGTGGAGCTCCAACAGTTGGCTATGGAGTTCTTAGACATGAGACAGACTACGGAGACTGTGGCGGAGATCACCGCCACGTTCCGGGAGAGGGCGTTACTGGTGCCCCAGTATGCGGGAGATGAGGACATGAGGAAGACCCGCTACCATGACATGTTGCGAGCCGACATTCGGGAGCATGTTAGTTTTTCAGCTTGCCCTACCCTGGATTCCATGATTGCCAGGGCAAGGGAGAGGGAGATTGATCTGGAGCACATCCGGAAGAGGAAGGTAGAGGAGGGGCAGGTGACTGGGGCTTCGAAGAAGAAGCCCAAGGGATC